TCCATCTAAAAGGTTCAATCATCATCCATAAATTGACGTTTGGCCAGGATTAGGTCCTCAGGTTGGTCAGTGAGTCAATCCAGATTGGGTAGTTTTCTACCCATAATACTTCATTTCGCAGAATAGCCCTTGAAGGAGATTAAAGTAAAAACCGCCCGAGATACCCAAAAGAACTTGAAACACTCATATCCTTACTTACCTAAGTCGTGATAGCAACGAAGCATGCTAGTGCCCTTGAAACACAACCATCCCTTCCCATCACTGACTTATTCATCCATCATCTGGCCGTATCAGGTTCATTTCTGGGAACATCCACAAATAAAACAAACACGTGTAGGGTCGCTTCGCTGCACAATCATCAACACTAACATGAACTCAATTCATAGACTTTAGCAGAGTTCACCTAAGCTCCTGAGGGTTCATTTAATCGATAACGTCACTAAATAGCTTTCATAATCAATCATAAGACTACAAGATACTGGCTTCTAATCAGAATATAAAACAGAATCCGATTTCTACTGAGCTAACACTGAACAATACTGAACACGAGGATGTCGCCAGGGTTCATCAACATGACCTTTAGAGGTCTCGACTTCGCAAGATCCCTAGATATAGACCAGTATCAACTAAATTTGGAGAAATACTTCTTTAAGATCTTGTTACTTTACTACTAAAACGAGAACTTCCTATTACTGATGCTACAATCATAGTAGATTACTGGACAGTTCTACAATTATATAGAACTCTCAAGATATCAGCTGAAAGGATGACGGACGTAGATCACACTGGAAACAATGTCTAAACAAAACGCGATAAACTTGTAGAGGCAAGAAGCACGACCAGATTACCGTCATCATAAGAGTACTTAAAGTAAGTAAGTAGGAAAGTAAATAAGTGGGTAGAATACAGCAGGACCATTGGCGAACGACACGAAATCGTAACAGAATGGCCGGGCAACTATGAATATTCTGTTTAACATAAAAAGGGATAATGACAATAGCAGATGTGTAAACAGATCAATGATGATCCAATCAAAGTCTCTAATCTATCCGATATTATTAAATATCGAAAAAGAACAAAATATTCCTCTCCACCATCACTAATGTCAGATATAGTACGGAACACACATTGAAGAAAAGAAGCTTGCCATGAACAGATAGACTAGCAGATCACATTGGATGATTCCTGGATCGAGGAATATGAAAAAGACATATTGATTCACAACGTTTTCTAGAGACATTTAGGTTATAAGTCAAGACCTCTGCACCCTAGTAGGTACATAGTAAGTACTTTGTACAAATAAGTGTATAAAATAACACTAATACACTTATATTAACACTAATAGTAATGCTAATAATACTAATAAGTACTTTACACCATAAGGAAGATGTTTCGAAATCCTTAACTAGCTCATGGATATAACCTATACATATATGTAAACATATATATATGTACATATCTATATATCTATATCTGTATATATCTATATACCACGTTATAAATGTATGAAATGAAAGCAGTTCACCTCACTAAACATGACGCCGTTCTAAGGGAACCCGATAACTCTGAATTCATTCAAGCAGTAAAGTATTCCTACTCATGACTCTTATCTCTTCTTCCACCAAGAGTAAATCATTAGGGAAAGAAATGAATCGTTAAATTCTTTAAGGTCGAAGAGGTAAATGGAAAGATTAAAAAAGAACTGAACATTCCTGTTCAACTATTCGAACTTTGCACGAGACAAATCGCGCCGTCTGCGCCCAACTCGGCAATGTTCGAGAAGATTCTTGAATCAGATAAGCTTCAGAATCAGTGATAAGATCAGATAAGCACTTGAAAACGAGAAATTCAATCGATCAATCAATGCGTTAGTGTAGTTTTTCAAAGGCAGAACTCTATCTGATCTCATAGATCTTCATCGAATATCGAACAAACCAAGTGCTGTAAGAAAGTTAAATAACTAGAAGTAGGACCCAGTTCACAGAATTCGATCCAGTTGTAACTCTTCTAATGACAGCTTCAGTAAGTGGAATTGAAAGCACTAAAAAAGTTGCTCATATCCACGACAACGGCTGACATCCGGACGGAACACTTGGCAACGTCGTCATCGAGAATGATCTATTCCTAGCGACGACGACGACGATAGCAGCTCTCTGACCATTTGCTGTTCTAATCAATTTCATCCCAAACAATCGTATATCATCTCCCATGGATGAAGAGCACAACGAAACAACAGGCATGGGCAAATAGCTCATCATCGAGTAATGAGGCTCGCAATGACTGAACAGCGTGTTGCATAGGTGGGTCCGGTGACAAGAGGAACCTCATCTTCTCCAATGGTCTTTCTTTTTATTTTTCTTTCTTAATCTTTTACACGAGCCATCTTCACGTCTACTGTGCACTTCTCACATTCGATTCGTTTCCTCACATCCATAATCCACGAAGGTCTCCCAGTTTTTATGTGTGGCTTCGGCTACTGCTTGAGGATTTCCTTTTCATCATAAGTGTCGTTCAATACTGGTGGGATCGATTGTACTTGGAATTCTTTTGATAGCCGGACTAGAAGGTTCCCACTATGGATTGCAGAGAGTGACTTTTCTCCAGGACAAGTCCGGCAACAATTTCCCGATGCCAGAGGGATAACAGACTTGATGGAGACTGGAGCATGATCGAACTAGCACCGTAAAGTCGAGCTATCATATATGCTGGTGACGATTTTGTACAAAATACAATACGAGTGATAGGTATCGATTAGGAAACATAATGATAGGCAAAAGATGGTAAACTGTAGAAAATTTCAGTAAAATTCGTAAGCAGGTGCCAACAACAATCCATGCTATATTTATTTATTTATTTATGTCACCACATATCAGGTGCCTAAATCCAGACAAATGAATCATACGGAGTAACAGAGTGAGGATACAACCATAATGATGCTGAGATATTTGGAAAAATCCGGACCGCAGCTAGACCCCATAGGGAACGAACGCGCTATTAGCTTTCTGAGGGCTAACGCGTTCACCACCACACCATGCGGGTCTTTCGTTTCGCCTATCTCTCAGTTAATTTTTTATCTACCAGATAATTAAGGATAATTAAGTACATCCACGAAGGAAAAAACCCGGAAGAACAGCTGTCGCTGTTCAGGTAAACACGAAGATGTTACCGGTATTGTACGGAAGAACCGTCTGGAGATCGGGTTCACTGTTTCGGTAGTTAGAAAGAACAACTATGTCCATGGATGGTCAAGATGATGGCCAAAGTCCCTTCCTAAAAGTCAAGTTCTGTAGGATAATGTGGGTTGCAAAAGAATCATAGTAAAATCTCGAAACACCCCAAGGATTTGCGGACCGAACTAATACTTTAGAAATCGTTCGAAATGAAAACATCCTGTAGGTGTAGTGGAAATGTCGAAAACGTCCAGCAGTTATTCTTCTTCTCCAACTTGTGTAATGAAATAGATGATAGATAGGTGTTCGATGAACTAAAACTGACTATGGAAATGCTATAGGTTTCCTAGACTAGGGATGAAGAAACGGTCAGCATGAAGCTAATAGAATTCAAAACAGTAAACTTAGACAGAAGTACACGAAAATGGACATTAAGTGAACTCAAGTGAGCGTTCAGTCATGAAGGAAAAAGGAACAACTAAAGTTGTCAAAACTTGTGTTCACAAGCACTGAGGAAGGTTGTTAGTGAATGTCAAAGATCGGACGGGAGTGAACAGATGTTAGAGTAGCAAAAAATACCTGTATTGATTAGATAGGCGACGAGTGAAGAGAACTACGTTACCACAAGATAATATCGCTACAATCAGTTTATCATCCATCAGGATTGTTGTTAACCGTTTTTTCACAATCGTCACGTTAATCAGAAACGGATCTCAACTTCTCGTTATGTTCCATTTCCTTTGAAGCCCCACCAATTATAATGACCTGAACAACCACTTAAAGGACAAAAGAATAGAACTCTCGCTGTTGATCAAATCCTCAGCGATGCGCCATGCAATCGACTTCACTAAGTATCCTTAGGGGTGATTGGATGCACATCTGGCGTTTACAATGACTCACGGTGGCCTACCGATGTTAGCCATCGCTGCTGTCTTCTCAGGCAAGTCTGGTAACAATTTGCCAACTCCGGAGGATGGAGGGCTTGGTGGACCAAGGGCGCGAGAATCGATCCCATGTGTATTACAAGGCGCCTCCGACCACTGCACCAAACGCATCATTTTGTACAAAACTAACTTAAACTAGCAGTATAGAGAAAAGAACGTGGTATTAAAACGGCGTCGGAAATGCTAAATAACAAGTAGCAGAGTAACTTTATCATTGAATGACTACAGTCAAACAAACTCGTAACAGAACTTAACAAAAGAAGATCAACACTGAACACGTTTAGAACACGAATGGATAAAGAAAATCTCAAAAACGAAGACTAACAAGCACATCGGAAAATACATAGGTGAATTATGAAATGTTGTCGAGCAGCCGCTACGGCCTATTTCAGTGGATTCGAGAAATGTCCTCGATGATCTTTATCAATTCCTCAGGAGCTGATGAACCGTCCTCAGCACCATCTGTGAAAAGTTGAATAACATTTTAAATAATACATATATGCATATAAAAGATAAAAAAGACAAGTCACCCTGCGACGACCATTCCCTGAGGGATTCGCCATGCATTCGACTTCACTAAGCATAATTGGAGACGATTTAATGCATATCTAGCATAAACAATGATTCGCTGTACCCTTCCGACCTAACGAGTCAGTGCTGGTATCCTCTCACACTAGTCAGGTACCAATTTGTTGATACCGGAGGAATGAAGCGCCTGGGAAACGGGTGCGGGATCGATCACAAGTGTAGTGCAAGGCGCCTCTAACCACTACGCTACAAGCACCCATATATGTGTAGTAGAGCTATCACAGTTTCCGCAGAAAGATCTCATATATTAACATAAAAAGTATGGATTCCAACTAGCTAGTACGACGATTATGAGAATTCAACCTGGTCGCTGAATATCAGCCAATGCAGCGGCAGCCGTCTCTTGAGGCATATCAAGTAGTGACTCCACTAGATCTCCATCGATGAATCCTACAGCCTGAAAAGTGCGAAAGAAAACTCTGACATTAAGAAGGAATTCTATCTCATTCCAGAAAAAATTCATGCTTTCACGATCCTCACAAGCAAACTTTGCTTTGCAAAGAAGAAGTGAGATTCTCAAATACAGCATTCAAAGATCAAACCTTCCATTCTTCTAAATATAGCTTCAAAAATGAGTAAACGGTTGTATAAATGATGATCAATGAAATATTGGGCACGGAAGGGCAACATAAGAGGTGCAATATTAATTTGAAAGGTTAAGGCAACAGTGCTGTGAAACCTTCGCTCAGTATACCAATTAGGCTTCTTCAACCAACTTCTTCTTTAAATGCCTAAAACTTTGAAGATAGAATCCTCAACGACTATGCAACAGCTAGAACTGACTCTAAGAAAATCGTGACATCAAAGTTGAAAATGTGAATATTGTGACGAAGATTACTTTATAATAGCTATTATCGCACACATTGAATTAGACGCACTTGTATCCGACAATAACTGCCTTTTTCAACATGAAACAAAGATATATCGACTCAAGAGGTAAAGCGTCTAAGGTTGATCTTTTCCTCGTAGATGTGTCATGCACCCGTCTCCATTAAGCATCGAAGAGGTGCTGAATGCATATTTGGTTTCTACACTGACTAGCGATAGCATACTGATGTTTATAGTTAGCGTTTTAATTGCTCGAGAGAAATTTTAAACCAGCTCAGATGGATGGAGAGTTCGATTTACCTGGAGCGCTAACGGTGTGTAATGCAGAGCAGAGCACCTTTAACCACCGCTTTATTAACTGAAATAAGAACGCGTCGTTTTCTTGTTCAGCAATCGCGAGGTTTTTAAACAGCATCCATTTACTTCCACAAAAAACACAATACAATACAACACTAGCTGACGTTTCGGCAGTATCGCCTTATAAAAAGAAAGTCCCGTTTATGTTGCCTTTTATAAGCGATGAAGTAAGCGTAGCTATAAAACGATGCTTAAGAAGGGCAGGTCTAGAGGAATCGGTAGCGATAGTTGAAATACCACCGGCTACTCTACGTCGCCAATTAGTTCGCAACCGCCTGTATGACCGTCTATGTGAAACAACAAATTGCGTAATTTGCCCTTACGGCAGGGACGGTGATTGCATGAGTTGAGGTACGATATACCTGATCTTTTGTAATAATTGCTGAGACGAATATATTGGTGAAACGGGCAAACCTTGGTGTATCCGTATAAAAGAACACCTAGATGGCAAACGAAAACTAAGACGAAGCACCCCACTAGGCACGCATAAGATACAAAAGCATAGCGGAGACGATTTTGAAGTAAAAGTCAATATCCTTGCACAGGAGACTAAAACACCAGCGCGAAAACTTCTTGAGGCTTTTTGGATAAATGCCAAAAACCCTACAATGAATAGTAGGGATGAATACCAGAGTCATACGCAACCCGATTCCGTATGTTCGCATCAATTTCTGATGTGGGATGGTGCAGTCATCAACCATATGCGACTATAATCGGCTCTTCTAAACTTCTTCATTGGAAGTCACGCAAAAAGCGGTGAGTTTTTTGAGAAGCTGTTGGTCATGTAATTGCCATAAAGTTTTTCATCTTTTTGTAAGTGTTATTGAAGCGTTTGGCCTAATAAATTGTACATCAGTATACCTTTTCAGGCTCTGATGAAGGTTATACTGCCAAAACGTCAGCTAGTGTTGTATTGTGCTGTGTTTTTCTATGGAAGTAAATGTATGCTGTTTTCTTCGTATTTTTGTTGAGCAAACGCGAGGTGTTACTATTCTTTGTTCACGATTAAGCTGACGTTTCGGCGAATTTCGCCTTCTTCAGAGCCTGGAAAGGTCAAGTTGATAGCAACTCACTCGGCCAGATGCCTCCATAACCAAACAAAGAAACTCCAAACCAAGATTTCAATCACTTTGAACACAGCTTTTCACACTCACCGCTTTCTATGAGGTTTCCACTATGTCACGTAGAGACCAACCGCACAGAAATCACGTGGAAGTATAATGTGCCCCTCACATCAGAAAAGCAGTTTTATATACTGCCCTATATCACGCGTGATAATGAGGCATTCTTCCCTGCGGTTCATTTTCGGATTTCTGGAATTAATCCAGAGTGCCTCGAGAGTTTTTCGCGCCTGTGTTCTTGATTCGCGTGCGAGGAACGTGACACATAGTTCGAAGTCGTCCCCGTTATGTCTCTGGGTCCTATGCGTGCCTAGCGGGGTATTTGGTCTATTTTTGCCGGCTAGGTGTTCTTCCATGCGGACACAGAGGGGTCTACCCGTTTCGCCAATGTATTCGTCACCACACGTCTTACAGGAGATCAGATAAACTATACCCGAGCTCATGCAATCACCGTCTCTACCACTGGGGCAAATTATGCAATTTTGAGTTGCACATAGACGGTCATATAGGCGGTTACGAACTAGCTGGCCCTTAAGATTACTCGGTGGCTTGCTCAACAAAAATACGAAGAAAATCACTTGATCAATGCCAAGGTTAATAGAAAGTCGGTCGTGGCTGTATGCTGTTTAATAACCTCGCCATTGCTAAACAAGAAAACGACGCATTTATATTCCAATGCCGATGTTAATAGAAAGGCAATCCTGGAAACTGAAATAGGAACCAGTAGAATACTGATTTTTGCTCATAAGACACAAGTTTTGATAATCTACCACGAAACTCTGATTTTTGCGCATAGAAATAGTAATTTTTCATTGCTTGTTTACTACCGAAACAGCGAAGCGATTCAGCGCGTAATGGATAACATTCATCCCATACAATCACATGCGGTGCTTTGAATGGCCGATATGAGCAAGCTATATAGGGGACGATTCTTTCTGATGCAATCTCTACTGAAGTCATATGTAACGAGATATTGTGGTTCGTATGACCCCTGTGTAACTGTTGTAATTTGTAATTCTCTAATGTTTTGGCCCACAGAATCTTTTTCCTATAGCAAATCCTACCACCAACTTTCTTTTAAGCTCAGCATAAATCAATTATTTACTGGTTTTCTTAGTGAACAAACACGAGATCGTCATTACAGCATTTATCAATTTTTAGTAGCTGACGTATCCGCGGCTTAGCATTCTAAAGAGCTTGAAAAAGCCAAACTGACACGGAGTCTACTCAGCCAAACACCTTCATAACCTCAGCAAATAATAAACTTCCATTCGCATATTAGACGACTTCTTCTAAACACTCACCGTATTGTTTCTTGTAAGCCTTCCGAGGACTTTGTGGAGACCGGCGGCACAGCCTTACATGGATGAAGAAAAAAAAAATGAAAAAATGAACCGCAAGGATAACTGCCTTATAATCATGCGTGACCTCGCGCCATACCCTAGACCGATTTTTTGACCTCAGCCAGACACACTCTTCGTCCATGTAACGATGTTCGACTGGTTTCGACCAAATAATTGGAAGACTTATAAAGGACAAAATGGCGAGTTTACAATGTTAACTTTTTACCTGCTGAACATTATTATTTTTCACGGCAGAGTATGATGTGAAATGCAACCACAATGATGCTGAAATGTTTGTAAAACTTGGACCCTAGGCTAGATTGGAATCCGCGATCACCCTTTTCGGGGGTTCATGTGTTACCACTTATGACGCTCTCGCTCCGCTTTTCCCTCAGCCAATTTTCACATCAAACCCTGCCGTGAAAAATAATAATAGACAGTAAATAAAAGCTAACATTGTGATTTCGACTACAACCTCAGCTTGACTGGGTTCAATGATGCTCTTCAGATCATTCCCGTTGAGGGCTGATTGCTGATGGCACCGTTAGATAGAAAACTGGTTGAGTCCTCCGTGGTGCACTGGGTAACAGGTGATCCCTTGGAAAGGGTAATCGCGAGTTCGAATCCAGCCTGGGCTGGATAGCGATGTGTTTTTATAATGGACCACAGTAACGCACAGCAAACAGCATTATACATGCCCTAAGTTCCCTTACAGCCTCTAAAGTCTTCTGTAATCCTGTAGTGTACACAACTCACGTCCACTGGTGATCGAAAAGCCGCCTTCTGTTTTCGGAAAACCAGCACAATGGTAACGGTTAAAAATGATGGGCCGATCCATGCGGCAGGATCGCTGAAGACCGCGAGCGTGTTGTGTTAGCAACAGAGATCCCATCCAAGAATATCCACGATTTCCTCTGCTGCCGTAACTGCGCCGGAATTTTTGAAAAATTTGATTCAATGTTGTTTTCGATCTCAATTTTTCAGTTAGTAATAAGAAGTTTTCGAAATGCTTCGGCTGTTGCAAGAGTGTTAAATAATTGGGTTTACTACTAGAAAAGTTAACGGTCGAACGTAAAATCCTAAATTTTTTTTTAACGCTCGAAAATGAAGTTCAGCTAGGAACTCAATAGAAGTAGTAATCTAACGTACTTTATCTACAATTTTTTCACTGGTGAATTGACGGTACACAGCGTGGTCTATTCGCATACAGTTGTCCGTCTCTCTGGCCACACCCTTTTCCACATCAGAAAAGAACCTGGAAAAGAAAAAGTCACATTTCCATTTCATAGACTTATTGTACTTGTTCAACATCCGCACAGTAATTATACCACCGAAAATATGATATTTCACGTACAGATTTCAATTCCAGTTGAAGAATCGGACAGAATACGAACAAAAGTTTGTAACCAACACAGCAATCCCTCTTATCTCTTAGCAATCTTACAAAAAGTTAAAGACGTCAAGCAATTGATTTTGAAGCAAAGAATTAAATCCGTCACAGGAAAACAGAACAAAAAATAATTGTTAGAAATGGGTTTGACAATCAACTCACTTAAAATACTTCTCCGGCAACTGCACAATGAGACCAATTGTTCCATCAACGGTTCCGAAAAGAATAGGCTTCTCAATGGGTAGAGGATTATCAACATGGCTTGAAACTAGGGAACCTCTTTGGAAAACGTTCACCATTTCTCCAAGATAAAACATGCCTGCCTCCTTAACATGGGACAATTAAGGTAACAAAAACACTCAAGAAAAAAGGGCAGTAAGCAGGAATTTAACAAGAACACAACCGAAAATCACCATAAGTTCTGTCCACTAACTGCACCGCGCATCATCCCAACAGAAAAGTAGAAAAAAGACGGAATTTAAACGTACAGCCAGTCTGCGCTTCTCATCTGCGTTATCGGTCCCCCTATCTATTTCACACGTGAAGAGATTGTGTCCCGCTTCAGCACCAAGTGCAGTTTCGGCATCAATGAACTCAACCGCAGACATCCACATTCCGCGATAGTCTCTAAAATTTGGATTCTAGGATTAAGCGCAAACGACAGTTGTTGATAACCAGGTTGTGAATGTGAAGATGATATCGTACTTTAGTTCGAAGCATGAAAAAAGGATCTTACTTGGCAACCTCTTCAAAAATACTTTCAACTGCTTTATAATTCAGTATCGTTATCGACCGCATAAGGTCTCCCACCAGAACTTGATCACCCTGAATTTCAAATTTGTCCTACGGAAGCTTTGATTCTCGCATGCAATGAAGTAAAGCTCCTACCTTTACTTTGATAAAAAGCGCAGTAATATAGTTGAAATGCGAACATTCCAATCTCAGCTCCTTCTCTGCGGTCCACTCGAACAATCGGACGGAACTCAATGTTTAGATATAAAAGAAAGTACTAGTACTGTTGTGCCGTTTTCATATTTTTGGTTACCTTGACTACTCAAACAAAAACCGACATATTACCATATATTATAATGTAATCTACCTATTAATTGCAACAATTAATTTGCCGTTGAGTGTATCCATACTGAAGGGAGCGCCACGTATTTCTTTCTCATGGACTAACCGGAGATGAGTGCGCTCTGACCCTTTTCCGGATTCGAAAACAAGGATTCGCCCCTGCAAGAAAAAACTTCGTTGTAAATTACTAACCTTCTAAACCACCACACCACTGAACCTCCGGAACCTGTTGGAAAAACCTACGTTTTTGGACTCGGTTTCATCGCTGTAGACAAGAGCTGTACCAACAATATAATATGTTACGGGATCGTCACCAAGTTTTGCAGAAATTACACTGAATAAGATTATTTGTAAAGCTAGTGAGAACGATAACAGCTACTTCATATGAGCCTCTACAAAATTAGACGGTGGAAAACCACTTAATCCAATTCTTCACAGCGTATATTTTTGGAGGTACAAAACAGTGGAGCCCGACTGTCAATATAATTATAGATATTCATAAGAAAATCCCCACCTAAGGGCTTGTTCACACGGACCGAGTTCGTGGCAATGTAAGTACTCAAAAGTATTGTCATCAAGTGTAACAACTGAATGAACGTCGCCATCAGTAGCATCTATCGAGACACTGGGGCGTTGACCTAGTGAAGAACATCAGCCAATAAACAACAGATATGAGTAGGTGTTTCTCAAAAACCTTACCAGCGCTACATTTACTTGCTGATTTGGCCGATGCCATCTTCGATACCGAATAACGATCGGTGTCCTATTGAAGTTTACAACCACAAAAGCATTAATTTCTGCAATTAAATCAACTGAAAGAATAGAGAACTCACAACAGGTCTGCTAACGAGTATGGCCATAGTGGAGGTTTCAGGCTGATGGACAACGCGACGTACAGACTCCCCAAGAGAGACGGTTCGAATGTGAAGCTTCTGAATTTCGTCCACCGTTCCGATTACAATTGTTTCTCCATCAGACATCACAAGGCTATTTCTAAATTGCAGAAACTGGAAGTGTTAAGAAAGGAAGGATAAAAAACAAACACGGACCTATACGACGATGAGTTGAGGGCACAAACATGAGTGACAATCCGTAGATTAACATTTGAAAAAACCAGCTTCCCATTAGACGAGAATATGACAGCCGGTCGATCGCTACACACAAATATATGCATCTGGCCGCGTGAGTGAAAACGATTCAAACTTGGTGGTTGCGTTCCGACAGTAGCTTTTTTCATTTCAAGCAATGCTCCTAATAAGTTTCGTACTCCAAACTATCCGAAGAATAATAAAATAATACTAATTACAAAACTAAACCATTTTCAGGATCGACATGATAATAGTATAATGTCCCGTCACCCAGCGCAACCATGAGATAAATCGTATTTTCTAACTTCGTCATCATAATTGAACGTGGTAGCATATCGCCAGGCATATTTTCACTAGTTACCTATAATGCTAAACAAAACTGAAAAAAAATCGAAAATAATGCCCAACATTCCTCCTAATGGTCTAGCCCCCCATTGTGGCTAAGAGATATTCCTGGGTGTCGGGCTACAATTTACAGCGGAGGACTCATGCAGCCAATAACGTCTTCCAAGCTGAGGAATCGGCCGTTTCCTTCAGGGAAGCTTACCTATGAGTACTCCAATACCAGGATCCACCACCGTCCTGGTAACAAACTAGTCGCATGGTGGTCAATTTCCCTCTGATTCACAAGGGCGGCGAATGCCTGTGGTGGTGACGACTTGGGGAAGACTTTGACTAGGCTGACCTCAGGACTCCAGGGAACCGCAATGATTGAACGAGCAAAACTCCGACAACCAATGTAGACGGGCTATACGAGTACCCAAGCACAGGTAAATGTCCAATATTACGAATTGTTACGTCACATTCTTTAACAATTTGCGATCCCGTTTACGTAGCACCTCTACAGTATAGAAAATAGAAAAGCAGCCTTACCAGACTACGCTTACCTCAGTAATATTAGGGAGGGAGTAAAGCGCGATTCTGTGGTGCTTCCAGAATCCAATTGCAATTATGGATGATTCTTCAGAATCTGGAAAGAAAAAAAATTCGTGGTAAAAACAAAACAAAGAGAAAACATGACATACCTATTGTTCCAACGTCAATGCAAGCCACTTCATCGTGAAAAATTGTGCTTGCAATTTCACTAATCGTCATTTCCCTGCATTTCAAATAACAGACGCGGGTACCGCAGGCAACAACCAACTGAAATTACTTGCATCTTGTAGAATTTCACAAACCAAAAAAGCTACCAGAACTACCTGTCCGCTTTCTTGATTAACTGAGACTAAATCAATAAACGAACTATGCGAAGGTTTCCAGATTGTTTTCTTGCTCCCTTCCTGTGCTAAGAGCACAGAAGTGGATGTAACCTGGAAACGGAACAGTGTAAATATCACTATCGCAATATCCACTTCCTGGCAACCTATGAATAGTTGAATAGTAAGGATACGAAAGTTAAACTCTACATTCCAATAATATCGTAACGAAAACCATTCATCCACGAAATAACCCTCGACTTCAAAAAGCCCATAAAACCAAAACCCAAAGTTTTCTTCATTTATAATTTTCTTTCTTAAATAGTTCCTAATGAACGTTTGAGAATAGTTCATCATTCTGTCAATTTAACTGGCTAAGTTGCAAAGTGAAGTCGCTTTTAGTAATAAAAATTCATACCTGTAGAACAGTTTGAGACGATCCTAACATTCCTGCCCATAACGTGTGTTCATCGGTTTCCAGATCTAAATGAACGCTAACATGACAGAAAGGGATATAAAAGAAAGAAAAACAGTGAAAAATGGGACAAAAACATGGAAGAGAGTAAAAAATGGAGCACAAATGCTTGGCATAATTTACGAAACATCCATAAAAAGCATCCTATCATAGAACTTAACAAACAATGATCAACCCGTTCTCAAAATTTGTATTGCTGTCATATTTAGCATTCCAATATAAATAAATTCAATGAAAACTATTTGTTACTTACTTGTGGTTAATTAATGGCGAAAGAAAAATCGTATTTTCTGATATAAATAGATTTTTGAATAATATCGATTGCATGATCAATTGTTCTTTCGGCGCATTTTAATGCCAAAAAAGGGAAACCGTCATGTTGGCAGCATCATAATTTTAATATTCATGAGAATACAAACTTTGATCATTCCCAGACAAACCAATCTAACTAACCAAGCAATTGAGTATCTTCTAACTCTTCACCATTCATCGCTAGAATGTGCGTCTCGGAACTAAGTGAGACAATCAAGTAATTGTCCAACTTGGAATCGACTTTTAAAGTAAAGATTCCCTACAAGTAGATTCCCTTAAAGATGCGAGAAGCCAAGTCCATAAAGTTGCACACACCTTCACTCCAGGAATGTCCACAGAAGCCGCCTCATCAATACCAATACCATTTCGGATAATGCGAAGTGAACCCTCCTAGAATAACATGTCATAGAGAAGCTTCTCCAAAGACAAGTCAGGTATTCTACAAGAAAAAAATGGACTTTGAACGCTCCAGAGCAAGTGATTATTTGATTTTGTCCGTCGCACTCCATGACCGCTATATCTCTAATCGGAGCAAGATTGGTGAAAGTTTGTAAAACCTGAAAGAAAGAACAAAACTAAAGAACAGCTGCAAATACTGGACACTAAAGCTTAATGCAGCAAGTTTAACTAACCTGTACAAAAGAGTTATTTTCAATGTTCGGCTGCGAAGTCAGACGAACAAGTTGGGAATCTCCAAATCTTGATCCAACAAACAAAACCCCGTTGTCCAGGTAAACCAAGCATTCCGCAATTGTAGTCTCTCCAAGTGACTCTATCTATGAATAATTCATATTAAATCCCTCAGAACTCACTTCTGAACGTTCGAGAATCTCTTCTGAAGATAAGATACAGAAAGGTAAAAAAATTACAGTAGAGACGACTAAAAACTAAGTCCAGAAATACCTTCAGGTCTTTGACACACGGACTTGGCCCTTTGGTGTCCACGTCCAGAACAAGCATGTAAAGCACACCTTGGTCATCAGCCAAAAGAATCCTTAGATGGAAAACGGTGAACAACTGTAGGAAAACAGTACAACAAAGATGAATTCACCTCTGGCCATTTGTGTCGACAGGGGCATAGCACGTGAAGAGCGCTCTATTCATTGTATTCGGTGATATAGTTAGATAAACATTGTCTTCACTGTAATATGTATGAAGGACATAAAGAAAAATGTAAAAGACACGACATTAGAACTGGTACAGATGTGAATGCCTCTCTATAGTAAAATACAAACCTATTGTATAGTATTGTCTCCTGGCCAACCACCACAACACCACCGCAGGGTTGAGGCACAGGAATGATCATCCTAGCTTCCGTTTCGATATTGTCCTTAATTCTATGAAGTCTCAAATATGTACTCAGTTAAACAGAGTGCTTTAGTAGGAGGGAATTTGAAACCATTCAACAGCATGTATAGTAAAGACGTATAACACCTACTTGTTTAGAAACGGTCTTAAGTTCTTTCTCGACCACTGATAATTCAACCGTCTTCATATGTCTTCCATTAGAATCCTGTGATATATACGCAAGTCTAATTGAATCGCCTAAACACTACTACTTAGATACTTCTAATCATCGTAAACCAAGAAAACGGAGAATACAAATGTTGAAAATGTCCAATGGTCCTCTTTCACCTTCACTTTTTATCTTTTCGTCCTCACCATCTTCAATGTTCCTCTCAAAGCTGCAACTATTAGAAAGTAAATTTCAAACTTTATCAAATCATTTCAGCTAGTAGTGCAGTAGTTTGTGGCGCCTTGCACTAGATGTGAACGCTGCTTCGATCCCGCACCCCGGGTTCTCCAAACACTCCACTCATTTGGGGACGATGAACTGGTACCGGACTCGTCTGGGTCGTAGCAGCACTGAGCTTACATATCCGTACTCCACCGTGAGTCACTGTGTGAGGCAGATATGAACTCAATTAGCTCTAACGATGTTTAATGAAGACGAATGCATGGCGTTCCACTCTGGCACTAATCAAGCCCACACGCTTAGTCTTTTATCCTTTTACTCAAACTGTCACTATTCTCTTATACAATCGCCTTGCAGTAGACATACAACGGCAATCGTTAATTTTCATTGGCATACAAGAATAAGCAAATATGAAACTGACCCGCTGTTTCCGTGAAGGTTAAATCTACTATCGCAAGATCCTCAAATCTGACATTGAACGATTTTAAGTCTTTATTGTCCTCCCACTGAATGATCTTCAATGTTCCATCATATATACGTAATGCGATCAGCTGTAAAATATTTGAACAAGAATCTATAGGAAAGCATTCCCAACAAAAAAATAAAGATATTTGCAAAACTCAGATCTTAGGCCTGATCGGACCTCGAGGGTCACATATGTTAAGCACGGTACCACTGAGGCCACTGTTTTACCCTTCTCTCACCCAGTTCTCTATCCAACGCTGCCACCAGGAATCATCCGTCAACTGGCTGAGTGTAGAGCAAAGCAAAGGCTTAGTGGTACCGCGCGTAAGACCTAAGACACCGGAAAGGGTAATCGGTGTTCCAGCTCGTCTGGGGCCAAAGTTTTGCAAATCTTATAGTGAGTGTATTTCACATCATACCCTGCCGTGAAAAATGATAGCACGTAGGAAATAAAAAGCTGACGAAAGAAAGAATTTAAAAAGGAAGAAGCAAATTCGAAGTTGCCTATTTGCTGCCCTCTAAATTCTCATCAGGGGTAACAAAGGCTCTAATTTAAGAGCGACCAGGCAAGCTTTGTACAAAATTACGAGACGAAAAACCGGAATAGAAAGCAAAACAACAAATGAACGAACTCCAGACTTGTTCACACAGGCTATGGGGCCATAATCACTCGGTCTGCCAACACGATCGCAAACGTTCCCGGCCACTCTGGTCATCAGCTCATTCTTCTCGACGTCCCAAGCAACGATCGCCAGATGATTCTTGGCTGTGAGTATCAAGAGACTATCGCGGGTCTGAATACAAGGAGATGGTAGAACTTGACAGATAGATAGACCAGATAGGTCTATAAATGGGTAGACAACTTTGAAACGACGTAAAGATAAACTGAGGAAAGGTGCACCTCATTTTTAGGTCTAAATAACCGGATTGTTTCAATCCTACCAAATACTGGAACCTCCTGAACCACTTTTAAACCATCTGACGCAAGTTTTACGATTTCTAGCCGATTTATTTTCGCCAGAATCAAGTTCATATCCTCATCGCCTAAAGGAAGCTTCACAGAGAAAAAGAGAACAGAAGGAAAAAAACAAAATGGATACAAAAGATGCCTTGATGCTTCACCTGTGAAGTTTCCAACGACTGCATCTGTTACCACTGAAGCCTTTTTAGCGGAAACAATATAATTCAACGCCATTTACATGCGATCAGTCGACGAATGACGTGGAAAAAATGGGGTACCCTTAAGAAATTTCTGGAAATATCATGACAAATCGTTTACCGAATAAGGATTAATCCATGTAATTTGCCAAAAAACGAGAAAAAAACTGTCACAATGTTAAGATTTCTAGATAAAAGAATGTAGCGAAAGGTTGACGGGGCGTCGACGCCGAATGGACGAGTTGCCCGCGAGATGTAAGCCCCGTTCAAAATTTGAGCACTTCAGTGGTAGCTGGAGTGGTTTACTGTGATTTCGTTTTTCTTCTTTCTTTTTCTTTTTTCTTCTTTCCTTCTCCTGTTTCTTATTCTTTTTGGATCACTCTTTCTATATTCGTTATTTTTACTATTAGAAGTTTTGCCCAGATAGCCTAGTAATGATTCGTCGTGAAAATCGTCTTCGACGGGAGTACATCTATCGTAAAAGCTTGGAGGAAAAGCAACGTGCTATTGAGGAGAAAAGAGAGAAGATTCGGGATGCGCTCGAAAATAATAAGTGGGTTTTTGTTACAACTCACAGGAATTTGTGTAAATTGTCCAGATTACATACGTTGAGAAAGAACTTTATTGGGCTAAGGTTTGGAGGTGTTCGTCTTAACCTAGCAATCCAAGAAGGTCTTCGTCTTCTTCAGAGCCGATGATCTGAGTCGAAGGTCTGTAGTCGATCTTACTTTCGACGTGGGGTCGTAAGACGTCGAGACGTTAGCCGAATAAAAGTTGAAGACGTTGTAAAGTTTGTTAAGTTAAAAGGCTATTTAACATACTCGTTTAAGCTGAACATTCTTAACAAATTCATTGACAATTTACGCCGGGGCTAAGTAAAAGTCGGTTCAGTAAATTACTCATCGTAGTATTAGTTGGTCCTCCAAATGGCTTACCACTTTATTACGGCTGGGAGGTGTTCCTGGGCTTCGGACTGCGACGAACAGCAGGGTCTTCCACGCTGAGAAGTAGTCTGGCATTTCCATCAGGAAGCCCAGCTAAGAGTAAACTATTACCAGAATCCATCACCTTCCTGATATTAAAGTAGTCGCATGGTATCAAATTTACTTCTGATCCACAAAGACGGCGAGTGCTTGTGGTGGTGAAGACCTGGGAAGACAATGGCTGGGCTGACATCGGGTATCCGGGGAACCACAATGGCTAAACCAGCAAAATTCCGAAAAAAGTAGAAATTATGCTGGGGCCAGCACAGCTATTGAGGACGGCCCATCCAAGTTGTCTAAATAGGTAAGTGTTAGTTGATACAGTGGACTACATGTCTTCGAGTCAGTAGACACTGAATAATCACTATCTGAAAGTGGAATGCCCGGCTTTGTATGAGTTTGGCACGCGGGACTTTTGATGTAACCACAGAGAACGTTCTCAAGCTTGGGTTACAACTGTTTATAACGATAAAAATAATACAATATTAACAACAATCTGACGACACCTAAAAAGGATAAAGGATAAGGCTCTCAGCGTTGATCTATCCTTGAGAGATCCTCCATGCATTCGACTTCATTGAGCATCGTTGGAGATGAGAGTAACATATCTGGTCTTTACAATGGCTCCCGTTGGCCTACCGATGTATCGAGCCACTGTTGCTATCCCACCAGACAAGTGTGGTACCAATTTTCCGACTCCGGAGAGATGGAAGGCTTGGTGGGGCTGAGGCGCGGAGATCGATCCCATGTGTATCGCAGGGCGCTGCGCCACGTGCTGCAGGTGGTATTTCACTTTTTGTCATTCGAATAATATTGCACAAATTAGTGCCTTTATGATCATAATCTTTTCATTCGTTAAGGAAAATTGACAGCAATTTGCGGAAAGATGCTGTGGAACTCGCTAGAGGTGCCGAATGGGGAGGTCAAGTATGTTATCTGGTTCTTTTATTAATGTCCGGGTTGTAATTTGAAAAGCTAATATTCAAAAGCTAATATTTACTAAAAATAGATTCTATCGATCGACGATGAGTATCGCTGGGCTGGTACAAAGGACCCTAAAATTGTTATTACTACTAGTCGAGATCCATCAAGTAAATTGAAAACGTTCGCCAAGGTGACTCCTAATTCCTGATGAAATTTGCTTTCGAGTAATCTCTTCTCTCTTATGTTGTCTCCATCTTTAGGAGATGAAATTGGTGTTTCCCAATGCGCAGAGGTTAAACAGAGGACACTATGATGTGAAACAACTTGTTCAAGCTTGTCGAGCTAACGATGTAACGGTTTAAAGCAATATTATCCCTTTTTTTCAAAAGCAAGACCTACATTTTACTATCTAGATGTTCCTCTTCTCTCTTCATTTCATTATCAGGTGACCGATTTTATCATGTTAACTGAAACACGAGGGAATCCTGATGGAATGGTCGTCTGTCATCTACCATTTGGCCCAACAGCTTATTTCACGATGTCAAATGTCGTGATGCGACACGACATTCCTGAGAGAGAGCCCGTGAGCGAGCAGTATCCTCATCTCATCTTTCATAACCTGAGCAGCCGATTAGGACAAAGAGTAAGTTTGTGTTTTCAGTTTATTGTTGATAGCAAAGTGATTGGCGTTTCGTGGCTTGTCTTTTTCTTTTGCTTGATTAATCCTCAAGCATGACGGTGTTTTGTTCGATTTTTCTCGAATAGGAGAGGGCCAAAGTGCTTTCCACTCATTCTTCTCAATGAGTTTCCAAGTTTCTAGTTGTCCACTTTTCTCATACTGAAAGTTTTTAGTTTACTTCAATCCTCAAGTATCTTTTTCCTGTCCCGAAGGAAAACTCGAAAAGAGTTATTACATTCGCTAACAACGACGACTTTATATCGTTCCGTCATCACACGTACTCAGTGAGTCGATTTATATATGTTGATTAGTTACTACTTTTCTTTATTGTTAGATTTGATTCTAAGACTCATTAAATCACTGTCATTTTAGTTGGTGAAAGGAGAAGTTGAACTGAAAGAAGTCGGGCCACGATTCGAGCTAAGGCGTGAGTAGGTTCCCGTTGGGTTTCTCTTGTTAAACTTTCATAAGCAGATGTTTGTTACCGGTAATCAGACATGTGCTATTTTTCAAAAAATTTTGAAGTGCTCGTTCATTTTAGCGTACGCAATTAAGCTGGGAACGCTAGAGAATATTGCTGCGGCGGAAGACGAGTGGATTTTACGAGCGTTTACGAACACTTCCAGAAAGCGACAATTATTGAGCAACAAAGAGGAAGACGGTGAGGAAGACGAATAAAGGCAAGGTTGATTTGGCAATTGACCATGTGATTCGCAGTACTTTGTGGTCTGTTATCATTGTTACTGTTTGTTGTTAATGTTTAAGAGTCTAACTCTGTACATTTTGAGCATGAACATAAATTTAAACTGACTTGACTTGTTTGTTTCGTGAGGAGAACGAATTCAGTTTGGTAGAAGTTATTATGTTCTCTGGGGTAATGCGTAAACTTATTTTAGCTGTTTTAGAAGAAGGTGATATTGGGAAGCTTGTGGCTGCATGTAAAAAAACTGTGCCTGCACTGTGCCACGTATGTTGTCCCTTCATAGTTCTTTGATAAGGATGGAGTTTTCGAACTTTTTCAGATGACGTATGGCAAAACTTTACAGACAAAAACGAGTAAATTACTCAAAACTTCTAGTCTTTCAGTGTTATTCCATGTTTGGCGCAGGGTTAATTCTTCGAAAACCAGACATTCCACTTTTCTCTCCTGTCTAATCGAACTATATTAGGTTATTTGTGAAGTGACAATAGTCCTTGTCCTTTAGGTGGAGTATAGGGCTTAACTTTATCACAAGATGGACCACTGTTTTCCCTGAAATGCAAATCGATTTGAAAGATCGGGTCATTCTTTCTATTCGTAGTTGACTTACAAGTTCTATAAATATGTGGAATCACCGATGGATTCATACGTGAATGCATAAGTATGGGTAGCTTTGTATTCTAATGTGTTCGACTGTTCTTCGCTCAGCAAGCACTCATATCCCTCCGATATCGGGAAATAGTACCAAACTTGTCTGCGAAGCTCACTTTCTGCAGTTCACGTGGGAAAGCTCCAGCTCGGCTATTTCGGGATTCCAGGAAGAGTCGACCCGACCCGCATTCAACGAGGTTCAGCAACTAAATCCATACGTAAAGGTTTGGAAACCTTCGTGATTGATAGATGCGGGGAAATGAATCGAATGCAAGAAATTCAGGGATCTGCACAGTAGAGTTCAAAGAGAGGTCGTTTAGAACAAAATAGGAGAAATTAAGTGGACGTCATTAAGCTTTATGTTCTCTCCCGTTATCAAATCTGGTTGCGGACGATGTTCTGGTAAAACTGTGTTATTCAATTTAATAAGGGGAAAATAGCATTATAGAGGAGGAGTGTGAAGAGATTGTAGATGGATAAGGAGCATACGAACATTGGCGATTAGGGTTTCGAAGTCTCGTTCATTGTTCATAGTACCGCATCACTTCCTTATCGAATGCACTTAGACATTGCTGTCTGAGGCAGATTGTATTACACAACGCTAAGTCCCGTTCAATTAATCCAGAAAAACACGGAGATGTTTGTTATAACTAGACCATACCAATTCTAAAGTCTTATTTCTTGCAAGTATCGTTAATGACAATGATTTTGTAGTTACTATTCTTCTGTCTTCTAATCATCTCCTTCTGTCTAAGCCTTTTCCTTTTTCTGAAATTGAATTTTCTATCGGTTTCTTCCTTTTAATTTTCGGTGTTTCAAAATAAGAAAGTTCTTTTCTGTGGTGTTTTCTTAATTTTTTCCGTTCATACAGTACGTGTGCGATCATCTACGTTTTTTTTTTTAAAGAAAAAGTGGGGTAATCTCTGATTTATTTTGAAATCCTGTTTGCGTATTAAGAATGTCTGACAGACATTAGAAGTTCTCAGTGCATTGCGTTGTATTTTGTAATGTTGGCTTCAGAGTGCCCGAAGCGCAATGGTCAGAGATGCTGTTCACTAATACCCGTGTGATTCGACCCCCAACCCAGGCACCCAGATCCTCCACTCTTTAGGAAGGGTAAATCTTTAGTAAATCTTTAAACACCTGTCCAGGAAAGCTACTTCCAGTCTATAATAGCCGGCGACTGCCTCCACGATGAAGATCCGGGCGTTCTAGTTGAGATATCCCAGGATTCATGGGAGAGTCAACTCGACCAACATTTAACAACGTTCATTAAGAGAGAGAAATCCTGAAGTCCCAGCTGAACCTTTGCGCATGCTCGAAGGTTTTGACGTAAAGGAGGCGCCACTAAACCTCGTACCTTTTTCTTTTTCTGCTTTTCTTTTTTTGGCGCTGCTATCTCCATTAGCGCGACTTTAGCTCGCCTCTGAGATAACACTTGTTTCCTGATTTGCTTTGCTTCATCGGATCCAGCTAATACATCGAAACCCTGAATCGAACAAGTAATAATATTTGTAGTTCAGGAAAATTGTGTTGTAGTCCCGACAATAAACTCATACTATGTTTATTTCATTGTTTTCATACAATTCTTTTGTTAAGGGAATTTTCAAGTGAATTTAGTGCTTCACTTTCACAAATATAGTGAATAAGATCTATTTCAAAATTCTGTTTCTTAGTACGGTTCGAGCAAGAATAGTGATTTCTAAAGAACCGCAGCATGGGATGCTCAATTTACTTGGTCTGTTTTCAGGATTTCTTTATATCTAGTCAACGTGAGCTCATGAATCACAAAGCGGCTGGTGTTGATTACATGTGGTTCATGGAACAGCCTGGGTATAATCAGTGTTTGAACCTTCTCGACAACTCTGGTATCAATTTGTCGACACCGAAGGGTTGAAGGTCTTGGATTGCACAAGGCGCAGGATTGAGCCTGCGCCGGTGGTGTACTGCAGAGCGCACCTAACCATTGCACTAAACGAGCTTATAAGTGATCGAAAACGAAACTAAGTTTCGCACCTCCGTCTGAAGTATATGGATACGCTTAGCCATATCTTTCCAAGCAGCAACGTTCGCAGTTCCTCTCTTCTTTGCACACCAGAGCCACGATTTCGCAGATAGGACAATCATGTTGAGGTTTGTCACAAATTCTTCCTAAGGACGATACAGTCATCCAGAGATTTGTAAAATGTGGAGTTTAAGAAGTGGATGAGGTGAAGATACGCCAAATTCCCATTTATTCTAAGATGATTTAGCAGTAGACAAGAAATGGAGGGTAGTGGAAGTGGCTACCAATCACAGTGTATGAGCAATCGTAATGGCAGAGAAGGATAAACACGAATGCACAAAAATAGTGTCCATATCATATTTGCAACCAAACTACTCTTTTGCTAGTTGAACAAGTTCCTCGTTCCAGAGCTCTTGCGGATCTGAAAGAGGTTTCGCGCGCGTTCCCACCAGGTTACTGTAAGGACTATGGCTATTGTCTAAGTAGACATTCCTACTTGGCTTTAAAAATGAGGCGCATTATGTTTTCTTCCTAACTTTGGTCGATCAACGAATAAATCAATGATTTGCTGTTAGACATTAGGGCTGCTGTGATCTTAGTGATCGAAGCGGTGGTGGATAACTTGATTGATCTCTGGAGCTTTGCTCTGGAATAGGAGCTCAACTCGGTGAATGAGACGAGTCGTTGCTGTGATGTAAAAGAAAAAGTTCATGAATCCTCCAGAGGCCGAATAGGGCCAGTAGCTATGGATCATCCAGACTTCATCGTCCACATTATTCATTCTTCCCACCGTTGGGTCACCGTAGAATTCCAACACGTATCGAACATTGGCATTATGTTCTGCCATTTCTGGTATATTCGGTTGTAACGGCTTCTCTGTTGATTCACTAGATTTACTGGTAGATTCAACTGGATCCTGTGGCTTATTAACCTGAAAAACAACGCTGATAAACAAAATACATTTAGGAAAATCAATGGAATATCAGCTCTATCGGATTTTAACTAAAATCCCCTAGCACGTAGTGCAATAGGCATTCCCAACTAGCGCTTCTTCATATCGATCAATACGTATTTTTCTCACCAAGTTTTTAAGAGCTGTTTTGTTTTGTAGATTTTCTTCCAAGAGTTACACTATTCTTCTACTTTAGGTTTACAGAAGTTTATGAACAATGTGCGCTACTTATAAGGTAATATTAAAATCTCGTAGAAATAAAAGTTACATTGTAACACAGTCGCGACGTTTTCCGGCTCATGAGTGGTCTGAATCTAGGAATGGTGAAATCGCTGCACACCATCATGTAATAAAAGCAGAAAATTCTTAGGTTCTGGTTAATTTTTCCGTAGAAGGTGATCTCAAGAAACTCAGTTCATTTCGTTCTTCCCATTGAACGTACACCATTTCAGCATACTTACTTAATACTTGAACGGCCCGTCCTGACTGGTTGTGCGGGCTCCAGCATAATCTCCATTTTTCGGAGACATGCTGGTTAAGCCACTGTGTTTCCCTGAAGTCCCGAGGTCAGCCTGGGCAAAGTCTGCTCCAGGTCGTTACTACCACAGGCTGTCGCCACCCTTATGGATTATAGATTTGTCACCAGTTGTTGACCAGTTTGATACCAGGACGGTGATGGATCCTGGTATTGGTTTGCTCTTAGCTAGGCTTCCTGATGGAAACGCCGGACTCCTTCCCAGCTTTGGAAACTCTCCCAGGGGATGAATCCCCCGTTGTACATCGCAGTCTGACATCCAGGAACACCTTCCGGGCACGATGAGGTGGTAAACCGTTGGGAGGTTTCAGCATACTTCCGTAAGAAATGTCAAAATCGTCTTAGTTCCTGGTAACGGTTGATAAACTGTGTTTACCGCCTCTTAGTGCTTCTACATCAAGTAACATCAATGAAATCGTACTGACTTACGTCGTGATTTACTTCTTCTTCTTCCTAAACAAGGGCGAAAATTAATGTGTTGCTGTTTTCAATGCAGTAATCTGTACAATATGGAAGTATCTCTAATGGTTTACTGTGGTTAAAGTAATGCAAGGTATTTTATAGGACAAAAGATTGCCTCAACTTTTTAACACATACGCGACTAGCCTGACTGAATGGCAGGCATGGACTCGACCCTCGCTTTTTGCCGCATTGAAATCAATGCACGAGATCCACTTCGCTCCATATATGCATTGATATCAATACTCACAGTCGCGTATCTGTTAATAATGAAATGGTTCATGGTCACTGTTGCACAGGAAGTGTTAATGTTGTTCTACACGAAAGGCATCGATTAGTAAATACTTGGATACCTGGACGGTCCGTCCTAACTGGT